TTAGCTTAATAAAAAAAAAACACATAAGCAACAACTGAATAGAAATGTTTACAATAGAAGCACGGCTCGTTCAAAATTCGGTTTTAGTACTTGAAAAAAAAACAAATGTGTACATTATACGAAAATAAATATGTAAAAATTCGTAACAATTGAATCAATCACATCGTAATTACGGCAACACACAACAACAAAAAATTATAAAGCGGGCTTTTAAAAAGCAATAAAATTCAAAGCCAAAAAATATATTTTTAATTCCAACCAATTTGTAGGCAAGTGCCACACAATTACCAAAAAACACGCATAAAAGATTTTTTTTTTAACAATACACTCCTAAATAAATTTGATAACGTTTAAAGTTGATAAGTGTTTCTTTCACCGCTCACAACCACAACCGGAATTGAGTTTTTTACTGCGCGGACGTTACTTTTATATAGGCTAAGCGTTAGCATCATTTTTTTATACCTACACATGCACATATGTATGTGCACACAACATACAATTTGTATTATATAAATTTTGAACAGCTAAATATATTTACTTTCCAATGGAAATTGATTGTTCACATGAGAATCTATTTACTTTTGCAGCTTTGTTAGCATTTATGTACATAAATATGTATGTATGTATGCTGCTGTTACAATTTTATTTTTCTAGCATTGCATGTTTACTTTTTCAGCCACTTCATCAGCAAAACATGCAATTTTCATATTCAATATGACTGTAGTGCTTTTTTATTTTTATCAACAAACAGCAAAAAACTTTAGTGTACCCAACGTATTTAAACTCCTTCAATACTGGTCGTCTTTCCGTTACGAAGGAGCTTAAATGACAACATGGAAATTCCCAAAGGAAGCTCCCACATCGTGTTAACATAAGAGGAAAGCTTGATATCACTTGGACCAAACCAAACTGGCATGTGAGCAAACTTCTAGGTTGGTAAGAATGTGGTGATACCTGCACCATCAACACCCCAAGCCAAGGTGTTGAGGTACCCGTGCCGATGGCTGAACGGTCAGCGGGTGTACTATATTGAATAGCAAACGGTCCCCGCCGATGCCCGGGCAACGTCACGGAGGTATAAGTGACGAGTGACGAACCCTTCCCGTACATACTCGCGGGACCAAAAGCAATATTAATGACAACAACAAACATAATATACAAAGGCCAACAAAACCCAATCTAATGACCAACACTGCAACGAACACTGAACAAACGAACAGCGAACACTGAACAATGACGTCGTTACGGAGTCTGATGAGAACACTCTTACTAATGGCCATTGTGAATGACAACTCGAAGACACCGGTATCCATTAAGCAGCACTGAGTGGGGATTGATGTCAAGTTGTCTCGAGCCTCGTTATGAACCACGTCCCCGATAAGGCGGTGGGTACCCATCCTGACCCTCCTGGGGGAACCAGACGAGAAGCTGCTGGGGTACCTAGCAGACTGGCAACTGATAAATGTTTGGCAACCTAACAAAAGAAACAGACCACGTCTCTTGGCCATTTGCAAAGAATCCAAAGATGGTAAACACATTTCGCCTTAGCATCCACATGGCCGAAATGAAGATCTACAAGGCGACAAGGCTCCTGCCGAAGACGTTACTGAAGAGGTCGACGATGCGAGCCAGTTTCTGAAGAACAGCAACATGACCGAGCAGGCCCGGACGCAGATGAATTGTATACAGATTTATCTGCAGCACTCGATATGTAAATCCTTCTAGGAGAGTGAAGCATTGGCGTGACGTGAGTCTAATCTAGGAGCCATGGACTCTTTTATAGTCGATCAAAAAAGGTACCAATACATTTCTCTGTCCAAACTACAGCACAGCAGACTTAACCGTGGCACATTAGATATCAGTAAATCAAAACAGATTACAAATGCTTTAGAACTAGACAACACAATTGATAAGCTGGAAAAACGCTAGTCATAGATTTTAAAAAAGCCACAGCAATCAGCGTCCTTAAAAAAAAAAAAACCCTCTCTGGTGGATGGGGAGCTTAGCGAGCACAGGTAAAATCTCAGGAAAATCTACATAAAAACAATGTGCCAGCTACAAAAAGATGGATTAAAGTAGTCCAAAAAATTGGTGAGAAACTGTTGCACATCCATAGAAAACAGTATAGATTCCACCAGGCAAAAAAAGGTTTACCCAAGGAACACACCGACCCCAACATTACTAAGGCAGAGGACGGTGCATGGACAAAGACAGCGCAGGAATTACTAGAAAGCCTCATAAATACACACTTTCCCCGCTGCGATCAGAGGCCAAAAACATGTCTCAAACAAACCGTCATCACCTTTCAAAATAATAACTCGACTCAGTTAATTGGCCATAAATAAGTCCTTCCCATACATGTATTCAAAGTCAGGCGGTATTATACCGATAATGCTGCAGAAATTATAGGAGCCCTTGGTAACCTAGCTGGAAAAGGCCTACAAAGCCAGTATCAGCTTGATATACATTCCGAAAAACTGAAAAAAGTTAAAGTTGTCTTCAAACCGTGAAGAAGAAATCATGAAAAAGCTAAAGACCTCAGATCCATAAGTCTTACACCTTTCCTGCCAAAAAGTTATTAAGTAAATATTCAAGTGAAGTGGGGTGTACTCGCTTTCCGAGGCTTCTAGTAAACTTTTTCTATAATCTTTGGATGTTAGAACTCACTGCTGTCGAGTTAACCAGTTGTAGGGATGGAAAATTAAGTGATCATACTTTCGTTTATAGATGCATACTAAGACATTGCAAACTTACTTATCAAATTAAAGCACGAAAATGGGAGTAGATAAATAGTTCTAAACATTGCAATCACACGACTGCAATGAACAACAAACTTGCATGCAATTTTGTAGTTGAAAGTGTGGGCGTTTAATAGCATGCTGTCGAAGCAAAAACCAAACAAACTTGCAAACATGCGTAATAAATGACATCAATTGAGCTTTTAATTATTTGGTGGGATATGCACCAGCAACATGAATAAAGCAAATAAGCAAACGCGAATTTAAACCATGTGAAGCAATACATACAGCTAGAGAAAAAATTGTATTCTGCGAGCAATGCTAGTGTTAGTTGCAACGCCCTCAAATACTTAGTACTCAATATCATGTGAATGGTGAAAAATTTTCGATTTTCAGTAAAATTAAAGGTTTGCTTATTTTGATCACTACCAACCACAACTAACTATTTTTACACGCATACAAACGAAAAACGAGTGCATACCTGTGATTATATTGAAAAGGTTGATGTTTGCTGTTGTTGGTGTGGCAAATTGAATTCATTCATTCATTGATGAGCGGCAATAACAATTTTCTACTCAAATAATGCTTGTGAATGTATGTATGTATGAACGTGCAATGCTAGTTTTAATTATTAGATATAGTTAGTTTTGCATCAAAGCTGCACCATTTCATTCCACTAATGCCAGTTGTGTTGCAATCGTTGCACCGTTGCCAATGTTGCTTTTTCCCGGTCGCTACCCATGATTCTGTTTATCGATGCGTTAAATTAAACATTAAATAATAATTATTGATGTATACGTAGATATGCATGTTTGTTTGTATAAGTGGGTTTGCAGTTAAATGCCTAATTCACCACATTTTCGCATCGCATTTCACAGTTTACTTATGCTTTCCACGCTTTCATAGATTTTCACGGCACCCGAGACACGCCACTGCAACTGACAAATAGTAAAGTCGGCATTTTAACCCATTTCGTACCGCCGTTGCGTTTTCGCTACAGCAGAACTGAAAATTTTTTAAAAATAGATAAGCTGCAGAAATCTAACAATAGATTATGACAGATGGTAGCCTGGCCTTTATATTTTACTAATTTGGTAAAAAAAAAACGTTTTTATTCGCAATTAGTCTTTCCTCCTTCCATATAAAAAATATAACCAAATTTGGACCAATTTTGAAATGACTGCAATGGTGACACGAATAATAGTTTTTTTATATGTACTTAAATATGATGCCAAAAGGCCAAATCAACTTCCTTTGCATATAGCACCAAATAAGTTTTACCTACAGCGTCTGGTGTTGCGAAAACGCAACGTTAAGACGATCCACTACTACCACCGTTAATGCAATAGCGCGAAATAAACAGTACTTTCCTAAATGCGTGGAAGATTCATTGCTTCATTTTTATTTTGCGCTGGGTCAAGTGGAGCCAAGTCCATCTCTACTTGGTCTTTCCAACGCAGTGGGGCCTTACTCTTCCTCGGTTACCAGCATTGCGACCCGCGTTATATACTTTCGGAGCCTGCGTAGCCTCTATATTTTTTTTATTCGCCGCACCATCGTCATAGTCAACACCAACTTTATCTTGAAAAATCCAAGAGCCACCTCACCAAATGGTTTCATGGTCCATGCCCCTGTGCCATGCATCAGCGAGGGCATAGTGTTAAGTGTAATTTTTTTACAACAAGAGAGGACTTTACATCTCAATTGCCTGCTCAGTCCAAAGTAGCACTTGTTATCAAAGGTAATATGTGCGTTAAAGACTTAGGCCGAGCGCACGCATTGAGCGGTAATGCGGCGAGCGGCTGAGCGGCGCCATACAGAAATGCCGCTCAGTGCGTGGCCACTTCAATAGTATTGCATATGTTTTAATTTTAAGCCGCGCAGCTGCTCGCCACTGTGCCGCACATTGCGTGTACCTCGGCCTTATTATGCCTTCGAAGGTGGCATTATTATCGGTGTTCATGCTGATTCCTAAATAAACTTGACATTTTCAATTGGCAATGAGGTGGGCACAGAAGATAAGGAAGTGGCGTGCTTTATTTGACTCCTCGAAATCGCTTACAGGACGATATGTAATTGCATATGTAAATTTTTTATTTCGTAACTAAAAGGTAGTTTACTGGTTTCCTACCTTACATGTAACTGGGCTCTTGGGCGGTTTCAGCATCCAACAAGAAAAAGGAGAAAATGTATACATATATTTATGCGCTGTTTACCTTCATTAAAATCTCTACATTAATTTCGACATTTTTTTGAATTTTTGGAATGTTCGTCAACGCTATATTTGTAAATCATAAAAAATAAAAATTAACTACAGTAAAAGTACTTTAATTATTTTTTAAACGTAAATTAGGAATTCGTAGGCCGGCCCATAAAGCATAACCAGTGGAAAAATTGTTTTCAGTGGCATATTTTTAGATCAAGAAATAGTGCTGAAAGAAAAAATTTAAAGAATGTTTTTAAACAATATGTTCTAAATCTATTTTTGTACACTTGCAGGCTATGTAGTTTGATCTATTATTTTTATGGTGCAAATAAAATACTTATTTCACCTTCGTTGCCCAGGTAAAATAATGGATCATACTAGCCTACAAGTGTACACAAATATATGCTACAAACTGATCCATTCTAAAAAAACATCGTTTTTACCTTTGGGTCCGATTCCTTCCAGCAGCGATGTAACCAAAAGGCGCGTTCACACTTTGTATCGCCTTTGGGATAGAGACACTTTTTACCCATATGTAGTGCTATATTATGCATTGATTGCGGCAAACTATCTAATATCTTCTCCAAATGTACTTCGCCGTCATCATGCAATACATCCGTCTCTTCAAATACGCAATACATATAGCACTTAAGTGCCTCATCCTCATGCACCTGACCATCGCTGAACTCCTTTATGGCCTCTGAAGAAACATAACATAAGTATTTGGGGGTAAAAGACCAGCGACATTTATTTTATTTGTTTAACTTTTTTAAATTTTACCTTCCGTTACACCTGTCTTGCCAACACATGAGTCATGAATTGGTAGCAGCGCCTTCAACATTTCTGGTGGCGGGTACTTTTCGGAAGAAAAGCAAAAATCATGTATAATTTTAAATATGTTTTGCAACTAAATCGACACTTACCGTTTCGTCTCGTCTAAGCTCCTGTTGTGCCTTTGCCATGCTCGACAGGTAGCAGAACAAAAACAATGTACCCAGCAACATTTTCAAGGAGTACATTTTGTGCATTTTAGGAATGTAAATTAAAGTTATTTAATTAAGAGAAAGCGTAGGTGTCACAACTTCGTTCGCTCTGGAGAACAGCATATCTAACAGATTTCAAAAAGTTAGTATTTATATACCTTTATTGAAGTTCCATTTTTTATAAGCAATATGTTTAACTTGTTATTATTTATTAGTCGAAATTTTGTTATTTGACAGACTGCTAATTTTCTACTTAGATGTGTCCAGAAATTGGCAATGAGTGTGATGTTTTAATTACAAACCAATTAAACTTACAGGTACACCAAGTAAATATGTACATAGGTACATACATATATGGATTGTATATATTTATGTTTTAAATTTTAGCAAATATGACATGTATATATGTACATATGTGGATATCGCACACGCACGTCGAATTTGATGCAACTCATAACACTTTTGGGACGCTAAAATGATACAAAAAAAAAACGCCATGGCACGTAAACTTAATTTTGGGTCGTAGGTTCGCCTGCCATAATCCCGAACCCATCCAGCAGGACACTTATCATCCAAATCAAAAACGAAGATACAAGTGAGTATGGTGCCAATATACTTCCTATAAGTAGGTACCGTTGCTTTGGTTCTGATGTTATAAGCAATGCAGTTTTGTGGCGCACAATCCGTAGCTCTGAATCATTGATGATGATGAAATGCTCAGGTTCTGAATTTTTATTATCATAAAAGAACAAATTTCTCGTGACGGTGACGTAACTTAGAAAAAGCGCTCTTGAATGTTAGCCTAACCACCATAAGCAAATTTGCGCATATCCTACAACGCGTTTCATGATCATTTTTGAAATTTTGTATACGCATAACCTGAAGACAATTTAGGGGTTTCCTATTTAAAATTTACGCTAATTTACTTAAGTATATGTTAATATTACTTAGCATTACAAATAAGATTCAATAAGCATTTAAGTCTAAATAAAACTATTTGATATGAACTTTAAATAAGTTCCTTAAAGAAGTATGATTTTATGAATTAGGAAAAACTTTCAAAAAACTTCCAAAGGCGTCCATTAACATGACGCCCATTAACATCCAACACGCGTTTGTTGTACAACTGATTGGATTAATTCTGGGCTTGTACAACCAAATTTCTGTTTGAAAATCAAAGTATTCTGATATTTTCTCTCGTCGTAATAAAAGAGGTTTGAGCGTTTAGGGGACTCTCTGTCAGACTGCCATTTACTAGGGATAAAAAAGGCGCGCAGAATCGAGTTTTGACTTACAAATCCACTTTCAGATTTTCGATTCCTAAAGTCGATTAAAATCTCTGATAGTCGACTTTATGACTTTTTGAAAATTTTCACGAACTCGTCTTCTATAAAATTTCTCTTTTAGAAAATCTCGAAAGCAATAATTTTTTTATATTCAATTCAATTTTTAGGAACTTATTTTAGGTATGTAATTTTTTTTAATTAAATCTTTTTTTCTTCACAATTTTTTTTTTTTTATGTTTAGATGCTACTCTTTTAAAAAGAAAAAAAATTTATTTGATTTCATTTTTTAGGAGCTTGTTTCATTTTTTCTATTTTACTTCGGTTTAGTTTTCTTTAACATTTTTAGATTAGAAAAAAAAATTTTGTTTTTTTTAATTTTTAATTTTAATTTAAAATAATTTCTCGATTTTATCGTTTTAAAAAGAAAAAAATGTTTTTTTTTTTAATTCTTTTAACTTTTAAAAATAATTTAACTGATTTTATTTTATTTTGTTCTTTTGAATTTAATTGTCTTTGAAACTTGTCCTTTCCGACCAAACACAGCCTACTGGAAACTAGTCTTTTCCACCCGCCCAGGCAGTGCGGCTCTCGATCTCGTCCTTTCAGACCGCCTGCCCAGCACGATATCCAGCGATCCTGCTGCTCGGAATCTTGTCCATTCCGTCAACCGCAACAACTGTAATAAATATATATGTATGAAAAAATAACAAATTTCTAAGCATTACCACAGAAATTTTAAATTTAATGGTAGTTTGTAAGATTTGAAAACTTGTTGTTAGTTTCGAAAGAAAGATTCAATAAATAAATACATATTATAAAAAAAAAACTTTTAAAAATAATTTAATTCATTTTATTTTGTTTTGTTCTTTTTTTAATTTAATTGTCTTTGATGTACTAGTGTTTATTATTTTAAAAAGAAAAAATATATTTTTTTATGTAATAAACTTTGTTACTCTTATTTTATATATTGTTTTATTTTCTAATTTAAGTTTTAATAATTTTTAGGTGATACTCTATCAAAAAGAAGAATATACTTTTTTATTTTATTTTGTTTTTAGAAACCTTTCCTACTTTGTTGTTTTTTGAAAAAAATTTTTTCTTTTTTATATACATTTTCATAAAATTTTTACATTTTACTGCTAACAAACGATACGTATTTTTAATTTCATTTAATTTTTAGAAATTTTTTTATTAATCTTTTATTTTTTTATGTAATTAATATTTCCTTTGTCAATTTAAATTCTTTTAAATTTTTAGATTTTATTGTTTTAAAAAATTATTTTTGTTTTTTTTTTTCATTTAATTCTTAGGATTTTATTTTAGTCTTTTGATTCTTTTTTAATAATTTCTTTCTAATTTTAGTTTTTGTTTTAAAACTAAATAAAATTTCTTAAGCACTACTTTTCTTTTTCTAATTTAATTTTTAGATTTTATTGTTATAAATAGAATATATATATTTTTTAATTGCATTTCATTTTTAAAAATATTTTTATTTATTTATTTTAATTTTATTATTTTTTGCTTTTGTTTAATTAAATTTTCTTTTTATTGTTTTATTCAAGTATCTTGAATGAGGATCACGTACATGTTTTCAAGCCCTAAAAATGGTAATTCCGGTAAATTAGTACTCAAGTTTTCTCCGGGTCATCTGCACATACATACATATGTACATACAAATGTATGTATGTCAGTTTATCTTATTTGTAGGGCTTAGGGCCGGTTGTTCAATGTCTGGTTATCACTATCATGCATATAACATGTGATCGATAAAGCAGTCGTTGTATTTAACCGGATCTTCTACCTCCGATTTGTCATAATCAGATATTGAACAACCGGCCCTTAATGTCATTGCGGTGTGAGCGTTTTGTTATATTAATTAAATTGCATGCTATTAGTCAAAGCAAATGATTATGGACAGGCTAAATAACTCTCGACCCAAGTAATAAACGAAAACAAAATTGTCGGTTGTTCAAAGCTAAACGCCCAGTCACTGTACTCAATTAGTTAGCTATTTTGTATACACGTACTTCTTTAAGCGCGGTAATTGCTAGTTTGTCAATCAAAATTTAGCGCAGTTTACAACAAAGTAAGAATTTGCTAAGCAATCTGACCTATGGAATGTCGTGACTTGAAAGATTTTTGCGAAATTTTATACATACAAATTAATAAGTAAGTGCATTGGTAACAAGTTGACATAAAATGTTGGTACAGTTCTCGTCGGTGCAGCACGTTAGCATGAATTACTACGACATACTTAAACAGTAAATGATTATGACTAACACGGAAAGTTACTACTTCAATGATTTGCTATTTAATAAACATATATACATGAACATTCTAGCATACATACATAAATAGTAGTGTTGTGCAGAGTCATTAGGGTTGTGTGAAATAACTATTTGGCGGTTGCACTGTAAAAAATTTTTGTTTAAATTTGCGCATGTCAAGAAAGGTAACCAGTTTCCTCTCTTAATGAATGCAAATTTACACACCGTGTTAATTAAATAAAACACTACTTGTTTACTTTTACTTATCATTGTGTAGCGTAGAATAAATTTCAAATTTGATTTTTGAGTTCTAAACATTTATTCTTCGCAATTTCACAGTTTACACATAAAATGTTTAGAATTTCCCCTAAAAAATTTTTGTTTAAATTCACGCATATAAAGAGAGGTAACTAGTTTCCTCTCCTTATGTGTGCAAAATCTGTATGTTTACTTTTATATACCAAATTTGTCACGTAGAGACAAACTACACAGAAAGTTTTTAAAATTGTGTAAATATGAGCAATTCATATTTATTATTTGTAAAAAATATATTTTAAACATTTCATGTGTATATTTATGTGTATATTTTAAACAACTCATGTTCAAAAAGAAATCTTGAACATCTTGTGCGTATATTTGCACAGATTCTGGTTGAAAAGTAAACACTTTTCAATAATAGTTTTACATGCACTTTTTATAGTGTAGTATGTATACATAAGGGCGGGTCATTTTTTTTACTATGCGCGTATTAATAGAGGAAGATTACATGTAATTCTAAGCAACTTTTCCAAAGAAAAGATTGCAAAAAAGGGTTCGAGGAAAATTTGCAAATTTTTACTGTTGCGCCCTCTGGGGGAAGTTTTAACAAAAATATCAGTGCAGAAATGGATTCATCATACCAAAACCCTTTTAGTAAATTGTACAAAATTCAAGCTCTACTTTACGACACTACAGCAAAATTTTTCCGCAATTTGGCAAACTCCAAATTGATTTTAGACCCATAGTTTCTTCGGCAAATTCGCTAAGAATTACGCGTAGAATCGTTCGCTCATTACGAATTTTTGTATGTTTTTATGTACAAGGTTTTGTGATAAGAGTATTTTTGTGATTTTTATTTTTTTTTATGATTTTTTGCTAGCCAGTCTAACCAATGCAATGAGTACTTACATTGTTTAAAGACAAAATACACATCACGAGACACCATTTGCTTTGATCGTACCAAAGCTGCAGAGTTATAGCTGATCAAATTCAAAATTTTGTCGAATTCAACGATTTTTCCAATATTTCAAAACCCTGGTGCGGACCCTTAAAAAACATTTACCATTTTATATCTTAAAATTTTTGTAAATAGAACGCAGAAAAAAATAAAGGGTAGTCCCGACCCCCTTAATAAAAGGAGGAGGTTACTACAAAATTTTGGAGCACATGAACCGATTTCGGTACTTCTTTTTTCGCCGGAAAGGTGGTCTTCTACAAATTTGGTTTAGAAACGAACATTGGATCATGAAGAAATTAACGGTTATCATAAATTTGTATATGATAATTAAAGTCGATTTTTTCCCATATTA